CTGTATGTCTAATGAGAAATGCCACGAGTCATTAACTGTCCTGTCTGCTACAAATATATATATGACTGATGGTTTCAATACTGCTTAGGCTGATATTTTTATGCCTGACTAAGTCGCTAACATCTGTGCATGTGTGGTTGACTGCAGTTAGCCAAGCCCACACAACGCTCATGACATCATGGACTGCTCTGATGTTTTCTTCTTCTGCGCCCTCTGTACCTTCGTCTTTCTCCCTCCTTACCCCCAAGCCTGCTCCTCCATCTGTCTCAGTCTTTTTTCTGGTTACTGTCCCTACTTTACATCCACTCACTACTTATGACCTCCTCCTTTTCTCCTCTCCTTCAACCTCATTTTCTCTTGCTCTGTCCCCTCTCTCCCCCCCTTCAGTCTCTGTTGCCTTGATCCCCTCCCTCTCTCTCCGTCCATAGCTCTATATGGCCCTAAAAAAGAGCGCTCCACGGATGGACTCTCTGCTCTTGGCTAATGGAAGCTGGGCCGTCTCTTTGTGTAAATATTTGCAGAGAGGGATTATAGATGGTCCCACGCATTCAAGGTGGAGCCCCGCTCTGCTCCAGGCCACATTAGGGCAAAGAATGACAATGAGTGTAGCTTGAGCATAGCATGAGAGGCGGCGGTGTGATGTCAAAGAACGTAACAAAATGTGGTGTGAGGTTTTGATGAATGAAGTGTTGCAGGTATTGATGTCTTTTTTCGTTCTCTTCACAGGCGCCGAGCAGCGACCTCCCCCTAAAACATGTAGACACCATGGTGAGTTGCTTTTTTTTCCTCTCAGATCCCGTCGTGTCTATTGTTTGGATTATTAAATTGAAGGAGCCTTTTCATCTGTCTCTAAGGCGCTGGTCTATTTGAAGTAGGAAAGTTATTAATAATGAGTGGATGGAGGAACTCCAACTGCCAACCTCTTTACACCTAAAGCTGAAGAACTCCAGGTGTCTCTAATGCATGATTACACAGCCTCCACATGGGCGAGAGCCATGGCAGGGTGAATTGTCTTTTGGCTAGTTCTCCAATTGTTATGAACTCAAACTCTCAGAAAGGCCTGGAGGGACCACTTAAAACATCTATTGGGACATGAGAATGTATTCAAATGTTGGGGTCAAAGGTCAAATAGGGGGGAAAAAAAATGACGATGCAACATATTTGCACAAAGGGTCAAATCAGGAACCCTGTAGAATCACAATGTCGTGGAAAATGTGTAAAAGTCAAGGTCACTATGATTTCTCGAGAAATGTTTTTGTTATAACTGAGGAATTAAATTAATTCCTAATATGACATTTATTCAAATGTCTAATAAGGTCATAGGTCAAAGTCTGGGGGGAATTCTATGACATTGGTTTAAAAAAAATGTCCCTGACATCAACATCATAGATATATTTAGCGGACAACCTCCCTCCATTCTGCCCCTTGTGAACCTTTGCATGAATTCTTAAGTCACAATCAAAATTCTCTGCAGAAAAAGGCAGAGTAATCCTCTCTCTAGCTTCCTTTAAATCAGTGCTTCTCAGTTTGTCCAGCCTCAGGACACAACACCAACTCTGTAAAGAGCAACTGCGACCCAAATCTCTGACTTTTTTTTTTTCAATCCATCTGATTTATTTATGTGAAAAAGGGAGGTTGGACCTGAGGCAGAACAAAACATGTAACATAACAGAGAGATGGAGAGGTAAACTTTTTAATACATTTATTTACAAGTACACATTCACCACCCACTGAAAATTACAAGTTTTTAAATGTTAGTGGTGTGACCTTTCCTGTTTAAAGGTCACATATTATCCGCCATTTCAACCAGTTTAAATAAGTGTCAGAGCTCCCCAAAACATGTCTCTGAAGTTTCTTGTTCTAAATCCACTCTGATCCTGTATTTGATCATGCCTATAAACCCCTCTATTTCAGCCCTGCTCAGAACAGGCTGTTTCTGTGTCTGTAGCTTTAAATGCAAATGAGCTGTGTCTGACCACGCCCGCTCTCTGGACATGGATGTAGCTCGGGCTTTCTCTCTCCATGCGCTATTGTTTACGGTGAGAAGGCAGACTGGGAGGCCAGAACAAACTCCAGCTGTGGGGGTGTCACCCACATGGCGGAGGGGTTACTGCCCTTTGTGATGTCATGTAGGGAAAATCTCGGAGAGGATGGACTTTTCTCATAATTGGGGGCCTGTAGACAGACTAGGAACACATATTAGTGTTTGAAAAAACAGTAAAGTGCATTTTGCAGAATATGTGACCTTTGCTACTAATGCCGTTGTCTAATTGGGGGGGTCTCCTGCAGGCCCCTGTTCCACTGTTCCACTGTTGATTCTGCTCCTTAAATGGTTGTTGAACGCATATAACACTATGCCATTATAATTCAAATGGTAATTCCAGCTTTTCATTAATGGTAGTGTCTTATTTGAGTTCCAGTACCACAGTTTGAGTACTTGTGCGTTCCTGTGCTGTGATCCAGGCTGCTGCACAGAACTGCTGAGTCAGGTCCTTTCAGCACTTTCTTTGACTAACACACATTAGACACACGGTGAAGATCTTGCCATGGAAAGAGCTGACTGTTTGGGAGCAGGAAGATTTGTTGGTTCACTGTAAAGATATTTTCAGATTCTGAATTGTGCACGCTCAAGTGCACACACAACATGCAGGCAGATTGAAGAGAAAAGTTGTAACCTTCCATCTACCAGAGGAAGTTCTCATTATTTCAGCTTTTTATCCAAAGTTGGACAAGACAGTACAAAAATCAAAATAAAAGCATTACCATAACTGTTTAGAAATGGAAAACAATGGAATGATGGAAAAATGTGATGAAAAATGTGATTAATTGAGATTTAACTGATAACATTTGCAATTAAAGATTATTAATTGACAGCCCTAGTGCCTATAGTTTCCAGCCAAGACAGCCCAGTTAGAGATGGATAATAAAACACACTTAATATATTCTGACCTGTCACCTTAAAACCAACCAATCTGGGCACATAAAGACCCCCCCGTACAGGCCTTTAAGGTCAACACACGCTTAAAAATTGATTATACACACGTTTGGCTCGGACTCACGCATCAACAACTGCCTGTGACACAACTTCCTGTGTGTTGTATTTTGTCTGGGAAAGGAACTGGAAAGTAGCAGATTTGGAGTAACCACCCAAAGCTGTGTGCCCACTTTATCCACAAAGACCAAAATAAACACAAATGCACCACTGTCCCTCCGTGTGTGTGTGCGTGTGTGTGTGTGTGTGTGTGTGTGTGTGAGAATGTGTGTGAGAATGTGTGTGAATGAGAGTAGCTGCTTTTATTGGCACTTCCCGTGTTATTCTTCAGTTTTCTCATACTGTACATTGCAGAAGGCTCTCAGTAAAAAGCTGTGCAGGAGTTTCATTTCAGACAATCCTCAGGTTCTAATTAGCTCTGCACATTCATGAAGAGGCTGAGCCTGAAACACACAGACATTAAACATGTGTTATCAAATGAGTTTCTCACATACTGTATGATCACACATCCATGCAGTATGCATGAGGGTATTTCTGTGTATGTGCAGCTGCTGCCGTCTGGTCACGGGCATTCTCTGTGTGGTTACGCTGTGACGTCTGGGAGATGTTTGGCCGCGCCTCATCGCCTCACAGCATCAAAAAGATTTGTCTTATGACTACATGAGCTGCTCTCGCTTCACTGGATCACTTTCTGTGTCGGCCAGTCTCGAGTTCTTCTACTTCTCCGCTTTGTTGACCCCCGTTATAATGTGTGTGTTTTTTTCTCTTTGTGATGTACAAATTAAATTAAGGCAAACTGAGTTATTGAATCAGAGGGTGCTTTGTTCATAGAGTGTATTTATGACAACAGTGATTGTCATACTTAGTAACACTTCAGAGAAGTACCAGCTCTGTTATGTCACCTTTGTTTCTAACTGCGTCATTGAACCAAAACAAAGATTCAAGTAAACAGAAAGCCAAGAAGTGCATCTGAAGAGCGTCAGAGAGACAATCAGATTAAATGTGAAACTGCATTATGGTTCTCACCTTCCCAGATTGAAACTTCAATACAATACAAGTAAAAATCAAACAATACCGTTACTAGTATCAATATTATGGCAACAAAGTAAAAGGCATGAAATATTGGGTAGGTTTCTGTTTTCAATCACCAGAAATTGCAGGCAAACTCCTGCACACTGTCCTAATTGTTTAAATAAATTGGCAACATATCAACTCCTCTGATCTTGTTCTTTTTTTAAAAGAGACAAACGTCACTTTTGTGTCTTTATGAGACGCCAAAACGACAACAATCATCAGGCTATGCCAACATTTGACTTTAAATGGACAACTCTCTCTCTCTCTCTCTCTCTCTCTCTCTGATTGATCAATTAAATAACAGAGATTGAGTTGTTTTAAAACGCGTGGTGGCGAAAGGTATTGGAACATTTTGCCAACCTATAACTTAATTTCACTATTTTTATTGATGTGATCTGTTTATTTTGGAGAAGTGAAGTTTAATCCATCCCCTGTTAAAAAGATATTGAAAGTAGTATAAATTATTTGTGTTTTTAACTATTTTAAAAAGCAGATGCTTTCAGAAATCTCAGCTGATAATTTTAGTCAGTCATTCTCTTGTAGAATTAATGATTCAGCTTAAACTTCTTGAGATTAAACTAATGATTTGAGTTATTGACTTTTTGGCAGCTTTAAATCAACTGCACAAAAAACCCAATGATCAAAAAGTCTGGAATAAAGCACATTTTACAAAACTATGTTTCACAGAACATGAGTCACAGACTCACAGAGAGCAGATCTACAGTCTGATGATTCATGTGTTTGTGTGTACAAACAAGCATCAGTCCTGCAGAGATGGAAAGCTTTAACAGTTGAAGTTTAGATCTGTGCACCGATGAGAAAGAGGGAGGGAAAAGTTGAATATGAGGGGGAGAGATAACGTGATGGGAGGCAGAGTGAGAGGGGGAGGGTGGCTGATTCCCAGACAGAGAGGGAAAGAACGAGAGGGAGAACAGTGAGCGGACAGAAGGACGGGACGAGAGGAGCGCTGTGGAGGAGTTCCGTCTTAGCGGGAGCATGCAGCGGCCCACTGCAGGCAGCGTCCAAAAATAGAGCCCTCTGTTTTTGTTTTTTTCTTCTTCCTCGTCTTCTTCTACCCCCTTCTCCTCCTCGGCGCTCAAAGAAAAGGGAGAGGTTTCACACAGAAAAGTTCACTGCCGGACGGAGAGCAGTGAGAGGCAGAGGAAGCTCTCCGGAGATGAACCGAGGAGGGTCTTTGAGGAGGCGGCTCTCCTCTCTGAGGGGGGCCTGGAGATGGAGTACAGGCCATCTTTTCAGGAAGGTAGGATGCAAAGGATGGATTTAGTCAACGCTGCTCCTTTATCTTCTCCTCTTTATCACTTGTTGCTTTTTTTCTTTGTTATGAAAACGCTTCTCCCGTCTCCTTCGCGGACTTTTACCAGCCCCCAACGGCTTCCCCCCCACCGCTCCCTCCCTCCTTCACTCTTTCTCAGATGGTTAATTTGAATGGCCTGCTTGTAAAGTCAACGTCCACAGATGGTTTTCATCTGGAAACAGGCCTGCTGGACCCCCCACTCCACCCCCCACCACCTCCTCCTCCTCCCTGACTACCTCGCCTCCCTACTTGGTTTGCAATGCAAGTTCTCAACGGACACAAACCGGTCTGAGGGTGCGGACTGTGTGGCGCTCAGTGTAGTCTGTTTCAGAGCAGCTGCACTGAGGAAATTGATTTGATTTGAACACAAATGATCTTTGTGGTTTGTTTGTGGAGATGTTCAAAATCTTGCAGCTGCTATTTGGAGCATTAAAACTCAGGATCTGATGACTTTTATTGCTGTACTGAACACTTCTTCTTTCATAGAATCATCATTCTCAAACGACTTGTCAGTTTTCGCCCAAAAGACATCAATGTGTCCACAATGAGAGTTATTGTCTTTGAACTTCCCACTACTTCAGTGGGATGCTTTTATGTTTACTCTCCAACATAAATACTGTGGCTCATGCGACTAATTTTAAGCAAAAACTGCACATTAACAGCTTTTTTTGCAGCACAACATAAACACCATCTTCTCCGCACTCTCTCCAGGTCTCTAATTAAGACGTTTGTTTGCACGCTGCTTGAACTGGTGACACCGTGTTTTATGTCTCGGCGTCTGACTAGCAGCGTTTCTCGGACATGTTTACCTTTCCTTTCAGAAAGAGGATCACCTCTCACAGGTCCATTTTAAGAGCACTTTGTGCTTTTGTGCACATGAAGTCCCACAGCTCTACTCAACACGAGCGCCTCTTAACTTTCTTTACGCTCTACGTCCGTCTCTGAACCGTCTCCTAAAGGCCATTTCTGGCTCATTCATCTCTGTCCTCCTCTGGCGACTCTCTGCTCTTTATAGATCCCTGCAACATGCTGAAACGTTTAGCCGGAGGAACAGGCAGAAAATGGGGGATTTGCTTTGTCTAACCTCAGCTGGGCCGTGGACTCATGTGGACACTTGAAATAAAGTGAAGTTTTTGTGGGAATGAAAGAACATATTGACAAACACTGTCATCTGATTAGTTTAGTTCTGCAGTTGTGCCTTTAGGTTTATTTATTTGCCTTCAGTTTTACATTAAGCTTGGTTTAAACATAAATTCAACCAATATCTGCATTTCTTTTAATGACTGTGATACTTTTATCGTCTGTGTACATCGTAAGCATCTACTTCATGGAGCAGCTGTATGTTTGCTCCAAGAAGTTAGCATGCACCTCTTTAGAAAATCACCACATTGTCAGGACATGGAACTTGCAACAGACCTAAAGCGTTTACATTTTCTTGCACATGTGTTTTATGTATGTATTGTATGTATTTTATGTATTTTTAGTTTGGCACCACAAAGCTAAGGCCTGGAAGGAAGGCAATGCTAGCATAGGTGTTGTGCAGCCACAACAAATATTAAAGCTCCTGTGAGGAACTTTTGGTTTGGGTCCCCTGTGGACAAAGCTGTATGTCCACTTCCGTTGCTGATCTTAATCCTGTACATGCTTAAGTAGTGTTTTCGGTCTTTTAACAGTCAAATGTATCACTAGCTGTGACTCTTTGCAGCACAAATGTCTGACACATTCCCTGCGGCAGTTGTTACAAACACTATAAATAAGTTCAAAGAAATAGTTTGTTGTCTTCCTAATTGGCTTGTGTGTTATTTCCAAGTCATTTACAGGCATCAGTAAACATTTTAGTCAGTTTTATAACCAGCTAAAAACTCCTCATAGGAGCTTTAAGACATAACAATTTCCCAAACTATCATTTCAATTTTCTTTTAGCCTCTTAAATGTCACAGACTTGAGTCCTTAGGAAGTAAGAAAGACTTTCCCTGATTAAACTCATTGTGTCAATCAATACTCTGTGCTTTTTTGCTGAGTCATTGTTTACTGGGTGATGCAGGAGCAACAGCATGGCAGGCTGTAATCCTTAAACATGGAGTCTCAACATTCAGAAGGTTTCTGTTGGGAGCCAAATCGCCCACAGATGTCTTCAACTTCAATCCCAAAAAAAAAAAGACCACATGATGGTTAAAATTCCCAGGATGATGTCTCAGTGAACATGTGCTCACTGACAGATTGATAATCAGGCGTAAGAAGAGCAGGGCCGGCTTATCCGGGGAGGCTGCTGGTGGTGCTCTTGACACTGATGCTCAGGAAGCTAGTCTGATCTAATGGATGATGATGGATACCAGGCCCCCCCTCGGGTGTACATGTGACCCAAACACTGCAGGGGAGGGAACAAGTCCACATGACCTCTGACCCCCTGCTGGAGCTGGTCTGAGGGGGAGGTGAGGCAGGCGAGGAGGAGTAGAGCCAAACGCAGTCAATCACCTTCAGCCACACTTCCTCTGTGAGGGCCTCAGCGCCCTGTCTCTGAGAGGTTACCATGTGAGGGCGTCCTCAAACTCTCAGCCTGGAGAATCCAAGATCAGAACCTCTTTCTTTATTTCTTTTTTGAGAGTGCAAACAGCACACAGCTATCTTTTTTACTGCTCTACAGCACAGTGTTAGAGTTTCTTGGTTTACATGAGTTTTACCTCAGTCAGCTTCTTTTCTACAGTGATTGTAGCTTCATGATAAAATCATTCACACATTTAACTACTCCCTACTCTCTATTTAAGGAGGACATAAGAGGACTGAAAATGCAAAACAAACAGACTATGTAGTCCAAACATTCAGTATGTTTACATGCACAGTTAAGTAGAGCTTCAGTTACAGCTTGATTTGACCATTTCATTGGTCTTATCCTCTTTTTCCTGGTATACAAGCACCAAGGAGAATACATTCGTTGCCGGAAGTGTGTCCATCTTTGCTACAGCTGGCGGCGATATGCTACCTTTAAAACAGTTACAATCAACACAAAAAAGTTCCTCTCATTCCACGTATTTCAATATGTTAAAGTCCTTTAGCTGACGCAACTAGAACTTTTTCATCTTGTCTGTCTAAACTGGTGGTTCTCGCTTTAGAACTCGCCATGTCCCATCCACATCCCATGTCATATACCGGGAATGTTCTACTCGTTTATACTGTTTGATTCCTGCGTCAAAGCCTGAGGGTGAACTGTGAGCATGCCCAGGATGCCCTGGCCAGTTTGTATCGATAGAGGTATATACCGGCAAGAGTAGAGTGACCCCCTAACCACATTATCTAGAGATGTTAGTCATTGTTGTTCCATATTGTAGCTCCATTAACTGGAAACAACCCTGATATAACTGTGATACTTGTACACAATGCAGAGGCAGAATAAAAAGGGTGACAGTATAGTAGCACCCTTATGGACAGCTTCATACATCGCCTGTTATCATTAAGAGTCTTGATAAACATGAGTAGTTTTGAATGTTTACAGTGCAACCTGCTCTGGGGTCATCATGAATCTTAATCCAGAGGGACCTGGTGGTGAAAAATCTGAGCTGGATCAGACACGCTTCGACTGTACTGCATAACAATGTTTTTCAAGATGGGTATTTTTTAAACCCAGTCGTTTTCACAGTGGTCTCTAATGTAGGAGCAGTCTTTGACGTGCAGGCATGTCCCCACAACAGGATATCGAGCTGCATCTTTTAAGACTCTGTAATGAAAAAAAGAAAACAGATCAAGCTGTATTGGTGACATCATGGATTTAGACTGCATGGAAACCTTGATGTTAAATAAAACCAGCAAAGGACTTTTAGAAATGGGATGAACGGCTTTATTAATGCTGAGGTGGGTTTTTTTTTTTTTTTTACATGCTCTGTTGTTCTTTTTAAATTATAAGTGTTTTTCTTTTCAGGGCTCAACAAAATCCTCAAAGAGCATGGAGTCACGGCGCAGACCATCCAGGTAAGAGTTCTTCCTTCTCTTCTATGAAACTCTGGTATTATTCAAACTAGGGGAATAAGTGAGGCTTCATGCCCTGCCATTAAACTGGACCTCACACTGTTTTAGTTTGGACACAAAGATATTGGGTGTCAGGCCCTCTCATCCGGGTCCTCAGGGAGTCACAGATGTTGTCAGTTGTGTAATTGATGTGTAAATTCGACACCGCGACACTTCAGGCTGGCGTGCTGCACTGAGCACGAGCTACAGATTCACTGCAAAGTCAAAGACCTGGTTTTATCTATTTTGTTTTTGTTCAAATAAAAACACCATGATATATCTGGTGTGGAACTGAATTTTAAAAAGTCCATATAAAGAAAAAAAGTGTGCAACAGCAGAGTCATAAGACAGTTATCTCTTATCTCATGGTCTACATCATATCATACTAATTGGTGCGGACAGGTTTATGTTTACATGCTTATCAAGACAGATACTTATTCTCAGAATAGGGGGTTCACGATGTTGAACAGCTGATGCAAAAATAAACATGGGATGCCATGTCTGATGTTTTTAGTGTAGTTTTTGAGTTTGTTTTTGATTCAACTGAAGTCACAGCACAAAACCTGTACTGTAGTTCCTCCAGACCACCAACTAACTCTGCACCATTAGAGCCATATGATCAACCAATTTGGCAACAACAAACTGCTCCCCAGATACATTAAAAAAGAACATCTGTAAGAAATGCAGGCGGTTTTCACACTATTCACCAATCTTGAGAAAAACAGAGATAAGGTTGAAAATCTGGGAGATTTCCTTTTAAGGTAGAGTGAGCTATAGCCGTTAGATTCATCTGTATCCTGTGTGGGTTTGGGTCAAAGTTTCAGTTTGTTTAAAGTGTTGTCTGAGCTTGTGTGCACCGCTGCTGTTATAAACAAGTTTGACACAAGTGCAGTTTGTGGGCCTGAAAACCAAAACCAAAAGGATTAAAATAAAGAGAACCAAAAGGTCAGAGAGCTGCAGGTTCTCACAGATAACTGCTAATACAGATACATATTTAGTATGTATTATAGTAAGAATACTAAATATGATGTTGAATGATCTTTGACTCTTCAGAGCGTGAGAAACTATAGATTTGCACCATAAGGAGTTAGAGCAGGTCTAATCTAATTTTTTTCTTACCACTGTAACTTTTGCTGCTTTGCTAAAGTGCTCATGATGGATAGGCCAGGTCTTTGTAATATAGCAATAAGTAAGGTCTTTTACCTGCTTTTTGTAACATAACAATGAGTAAGGTATTTTTACCTGCTCTTTTGTAATGTAACAAAGAGTAAGGTATTTTACCAGCTTTTTGTAAAGTGTCTTGAAATAACACTTGTTATGAGTTGACGCTATACAAAATAAATTGAATTGAATTGAATTGAATCAAAGCTGGTATCAAGGATGTCTTTGAGTAGTTTATTAAAAGACGATGTCTTAGTCGATCAAGTTTATTACTATTAAATATCTGGCGAGACCTTTTACGACCTAATGTCTCAGGTTTCCTGATAAAACATGCCTGGTTCACGCTCAGTGAGATCACTGCAGCGCTGAAATTGAGCGTGTGGAGATAAGGCGTCATTTATCAAACACTGTGTGCAGAAAGAAAAAAAAATAGAGAGCAATCGCTTCATCTCTTCAGCCGATGAGAAGCAGGTTGGCGCTCGGCCGGTCAACGCATGCTGGTGGACCTGGAAAAGGACCAAACCACAGCGTCTATATTGGCCCTGACTGCACCCCGAGGGGAGACACAGACATGTGCAGAGACAAAGGAGGAAGTGGAAAGAGTAAGAAAGAGAGAGGATCACAAGAAAATTAAACACCACTGAAGAAAAGATGGAAATCGAGAGAGAAACGGAGTAAGAGATCGAGGTTAAAGTGGAAATAAAAACAACACAAAGTTTTGAATCTCTAACATAGAAAGATACAATCTTTACAAAAATTCAAAACAAGACGTGAGACTTGCATGAGAGAGGACATGTGTGACATATCTCCTCCATCGGCCGTGATGAATAATTTCCAGTAAGCAGCTTTTGAGTGGCTCCAGATGTACAGAGCAGAGCAGGTTTAAAGGAGAGATCCTCTGTCCCAGCCATATGAGCAATTTCCTCTGGGGCTACTCACAGCTGACAAATGTGGGAAAAATGCTGCTGTCGAGACACCTCTGCTTTAACCTCTTCATCTCACTGCTTTCTGCCAGACGTCTTATACAGGGGAGGACATGATTTTTTTAACGTTGAAGACAGCAGTCAAAATTAAAGCTCGAGTTCAATGAGTTTTGAAATATGCCTTGTGAATTTCTTGCCAAGGGTTGAATGAGAAAATGTTTAGCTTAGCTTAGCATAAAGACTTGGAACAGGGGAGAAAAAGCTAACCTGACTCAGTCCAAGTATAACAGAATCGGGCCCTCAGCTCCTCAATGGCTGAGTTAAATGTACAAAATGTTTTGGAGTTGCCCTTCTTTGAAAAGCATCATCAGATTACATAAAGTTTAAATACAAAAGCAAAAGAGCAAAATACGTTTTTTGATACTAAATACTAAATTTTGCAAATGTAAGGGGGTCGAAAACATGTATGAATTCACTTTAATGTAATATGTGTGAAAAAAGAGAGATGCTTGTGAAAAATAATAAGAGGGGCTACATATTAGTGATGGCCCAGGGAGTAGGTGCCAAGTAGGAGCCAGGTTAGCCGTTTCCCCCTGTTGTCAGTCTTAATGCTAAGCTAATGTGCTGCTAGCTCAAACTCATGTCAGGGAAAGCAAACAAGTGTATGTCCAGTTATGTTTTAATCCTGGATAAAGCTATTCGTCATAGCTCCCAAAAGTCTGAAGCATTCCTGCAAAGCCTTGTGTTTGAGGTAAACCAAAAAGAGAACGAGTGTTGGACTGTTGGACTGAAATCCTTTGGCAGCAGAGCATCAGATTATTCTGCACAAGCTGTCTGAAGACCTTTGATGGACACGTTTTGCTTGTTTTGGAGCAGCATCTGCTCTTTTTCTGTTTTAAGAGAGAAGTCTTAGATTACATGAATTCAGTTAATCAAGAGATGTTCTGACATAGCAGTGCATGAGTTTTTTTTTCATGATGGACTGTCCATCTCTTCTTTCTTTACTTTCTCCCCTTAACACTTTAATTGTTGACCTTATTTGACTCCAGAAACACCAGCCAAGATAAAAAAAAAAAACATCTCAGCTGACTTCGGCGCAATTTCCTCCACCAATGCTCACATATGCTGCAACATAAGCTGGCATGTTCATCGACTTAATCAATTTCCCCTCGCTCCGTTCCCCTCTTAGACAGCGTAAGTCAAACAACAACACATGTGTCTAACGCAGAGAGGAGAGCTTACATTTAAGAGGCACATTTCCACCCCCTCTGGGCTTGAATGATATCATTGTGCATGCGGTACTTATGTGGTGTGATGGCTCTTTCCATATGAGGTTTTTTGTTTCTTGTTGTCTTGAAGAACAGTGTTCTGCGTTGTGTTCAGCTTAATCTGAGATGGATTTGGTGCATAGAGAACATACACAAGATTCAGAAAAGCAGAAAGCAGACTCGTTTAGTGTTTATGTTAGCTCCAAATTTAGTGACCTTTTAAAATTGGGATTCCCCCTCGAGTTTAAAACACCCCGAGTCAAGTATGGCAGACAAAGTAAGAGCAGCACGATTAGCTCTGAGCTGCTTCTCTTTTGTTATTGGTTATAATTCCAACAGTGCAACGTCAAGCTGAATTCTCCACAGCGGTGTTAACAGTGGAAAAAAAACTTAATCAAGCATTTGGATACCACATTTGGAAACCACACATTAAAAAAAAAAAAAAAACTATTTTGGTTAAGGAAAGTATCGAAATGGGGAAAAAAAACATCTATTTCATAAGACTGGTACTAAGGAGAGAAATAAATTGCAAGCTCCTACACACCGTCTAAGATGCATAAATACATTGGCAACATTTCAGTCTCAAACATTCCCAGGAGTCTGCTCGCAATTTTTGACATTTGAGAACACGAAATAAACCAGTATCAGGTGCCTAGGTCTTCTTTTTGTTGTTGCTGTGGTATCAGAACAGGTGTCGATATTATTGATTTTCTTCTATTTGAATGTTTTCTTTTTGTACTTTTATGTACATGCGGGAAAGGAGCCACAGGTTGGATATGAACCCACACCGCCCCCACTTAGAGGACGACAGCCTCTGTACACGGGGCACACAAACTAACCACAAGACCTTATTAATTGATTTTTACTTGTGTCACATGCAAGTTTACATTTTTGTAATTGTGTCAAGTCAACCCTAGTAATAAAAGAAGGTGACAAGGTAACCCTTATCATAAAAATGACTCAACTGGAAATATGTTAATGTCCAGACGTACAGCCGACAGCAGGAATACGTCTTAGAGGTTCAAATATTAGCCTCATGTTGACTGAGTTTGGTGGTACTGAAGTGAAAAACAAGAAAAAAGTGATACTTTGAGTCATTATGTCTTTACTTTGGAAACGGAGCAAAAGGGGTTAAACAGCAGACTAGAACCAAACTCTGTAATGCATCTTGTGATGTCGCTCGGCCTGAAAGAAATAAGTGTTCCCACATCAAATCACAGGAATGAATCATGCAGCAGTGACGTCTTCTGTATTAAACATTTAACAAGAAGAAGATTCTTAGATCATAATATGAACCTGTAGGTATGACATTTTATGTAGACTTTTACTTTGGATTTAAATTCACATACTGTACATAATACTTAGAGAGAGAATAATCACCTTTTTCACAAGTTATGAACAATGAAGAGAGGAAAAAGTCTGAGTCATAAAACATCACTTGGGCTTGAAACATGTTTTTTAATGCTTAAAGCGAGTAAATTATTATTTTTTGGGGAGCCATAGTGCATCAAGTCTTTGTCCATAAGATCAAACAATGAAGAGCAGACTTTACTTGTTACTGAGTCCTCTTGATTAAGGTTGTTTTTCTCACATATAGATGTTTTAGTTTCTTCTAGATAGAACCTGACGAAACAACAACAGTCCAAAAGCCTGAACACACCTTTGTCCTGGCTTCACTATGGCTGAAATGATCACACACCAACTGAAGCAGGAAACACAACATGTCTAAATCCCATCTCAACTGATCAGCCATGTTGTTCATGTCTGTGAGAATATTAACAACACTAAACTGTGAAACTGTTTGTTTTGTGTGTCTGACAGGAGTGTGAGTCTGCTGCAGGCCCTGGAGGAGAACTACGAGCTGGACCTGGTCTACATCACAGAGAGAATCATCTCCGTCTCCTTCCCCGGCAGCGTGGAGGAACAGAGCTACACCAACAACCTGCGGGAGGTCGCCTCCATGCTGCGCTCCAAACACGGACACAACTACCTGGTATGCTTTACCTGTTTACATCCTGAGGATCCCCACAGGATAATTTAAGGGAGTCATTAGATCTTCCTAGCTCAGCTGATCTTAAGCTCTCTTTACATCTACAACAGAATGGTTATATTTATCTGTGTCTCTACTAGTGATTCAGCTGTCGGTGTTATCTGGTGTTTTACTGGCTAACGGCTGCTACTACATGTCAAGCTGACATCTCACTCAGTCTGTGTACATGATGTTAAAAAAAGTGGATTATAGGGCTGACATGAATATAGGCATATGCATGCTGATCCAGTTATTTCAGTACAACATAATGAGGACATTTGATGCTGCAAAAAGCTTGTCATGTTCATTCTGAAGTTCATCATGACTAACAGCACTGACGTCACTGTCACTCATGAGGTTGATATAAAGATTGGCTGACCTGCAGTTTTTTTCCGACCACTCGATTGGTTGATGCGTTGGTGTAATTTCAGTCGACCATGGTTTTATTTGGTTGACTACAGCTGTACGGAGAAGCTGAGAAGAAACAAATAAACAAATGAAGAACGTAGCTAACCTTTGTGTTGTCAACCTAACTCATTCCCTGCAATACAACTATCGGTCTTTAGTTTCCATTTGTTTCATATAAACCATTCTTATTAGTTAAAGCTAAGCTAGTAAAACACAACAGTTTAGCTGGGTCTTCAGTCTTTGTTGCATTATGACTGGTCAGTGATTGAGCATGACATCACATAGCAACCAATTCAATATTTAAAACCATTTAAGGTCTGGAAAGGTGAATGTGTGTGACTGTAAGACTCACTGAGAGTCATAAATCATTCAACGATTTCTCTTTTCTGTCAATTCTCAATGAGCTGCCAAACATGTTGTAATAATGTTTATGCTAACTCCATCCTCAGCTCTTCAACCTCAGTGAGAAGCGTTATGACATCAGCCAACTTCATCCAAAGGTACGAGCATCATTACTTTCTCCTCCTCTGTTCAGTTTGATCTTAAATCTGACTGACATTAATCTGATGATTAATCTGAATCCATCTCTCTCTCAGGTGTTGGACTTTGGCTGGCCTGACCATCATGCTCCAGCTCTAGACAAAATCTGCAGCATCTGCAAAGCCATGGACACCTGGCTGAGTGCTGACAGCCACAACGTGGTGGTCATACACAACAAGGTGAGAGGAAAACACAAAGAGAGGATGGTGTGAGGAAGTATCTGTGGACAGTAGAGGGCACCCTCAGGCTCCTGTAAGAACCTCCTCCTCCTCCTGAGGCTGCAGCTGTTTTTTTGTGTCTGTTATGACGTCCTCTTTAAGTGAAAGATCGACATTCAGGGTGGAGTGTTTGTGTGCATGTTTGGGTTGTGCTGGATGAGGGTTAGGAAAACACAAATTAGGTGGGTAAGGCATTCCACTCGACTGGCTGCTTATGTTTATTCATCCTTTAACCTTTAACAATACCATAAAAAACGGAATTGACCAATATTTTCCTGTTGTTGCCTAAATTTACTTGCATAATATTATCCTCTTGTGGCAAACCACACTCATCTGGCTCCTCTGTATGCCGACACAAACCATAAAAAGTAGATCCAAATACAACCGCTTGGGCCAAAGTCCCAGATGTAATAGCTAATCATTTTCACGTTAACCCCTCTGTGTGTCTCCGATTGTGTTGAGCAACATGCGAATTAACCATGGGATCCTTGAGCTGTGTGCCTCATTCCAGGATGTTCCCACAGGGAGGTTACAAACAAGTCGGCTGCCACGGCAACGGAGGGTTATTTTTCAGCGAGTTGAGTAATGCCGGTGATGAGAGTGTGGGTTTGGAGGTTGTGGTCGGTCACTAAGGAAGCAGGCCGTGTCGGGTTTCCTCATATCAACAAATCATTTCCATGGGGCTTCACGCTGTTTAAGTGGCCGCGATATTTATAATGTGGAACACACTTATTCTCCACAGTGACCCTCGCTTTAAACATTGATGGATCTGTAACATGACTGGTTTGTTGTGATGGTGATGGAGACTTCAGCTCAGTGAACTATTCATTAAATACCCATCTATACATTTTTCTTTTCCCAGATTAATATAGATATAGTTCCATAAATATAAGAGTTTAATGATAACAAATAAAAGGCAATTTGTGGTCCATTCCTGACGGCTCTTAAACTTGGACAAAAAGAGGTGTTTTAAGCCAGTGAGTGATGACACAAGTCAAACTCCCTCTGGGATTATGGTTCTTAGCTCTGTGTTCATACGGGGCGAGATGGTGCTCTTTCAGCTTGTTTATGTTTTCACCCCGAGGCTCCAACATGTTTCAACCACATGAGCCCCTCCTTATCCAACCATCAGCCCGACCACCTCATAGGGGGAGAGAAACAGCCACGCCCACTTCAGGGTTGCTGTCAGTAGATGCATAATGGTGGAGTGTCTTTGCGAGAATACAATACAAAATAAACCAAGAGACTTTCTAAACTGAAGAAAATATTTTTTTTGGTATAAAATACTTAAAAGAAATCTAATTAAGTTTGTGCTGCATGTCTAAATGGTGATCAGTCGTAGAATCGGCTGCACTCAAATGCTAAAGGAGGAGAAGCAGTAAGCTGAAGGGACAGCTTTCCGAAACAGCTACTGGATATCACCTTTTACACTAGCTCTAGTGATCTTGTATGAGTGAATTCACCCTCTTGAATCTGTGTTTAAAAACAAATTTGGAATGATTGCAGGTTGTACAGTTGTTTTGAGAATGTTGAGCCTACATTTTAAATAAACAAACATCTTGCTTTGGGAGATAAAATCTGTAGATGACTCTTGTTGGATTTCTGTCTTTTCAGGGCAACAGGGGCAGGACTGGAGTGGTGGTGGCGGCCTACATGCATTACAGCAACATATCTGCCAGGTGGGTGTACGATCACATCTGTACGTGGGAGGAATTAATTGCAGGCTTGGAATAGAAGCATGAGAGCTTTTGTGCACTCCCATCATCCTTATCATATTTAGTAATCAGAAACTCAGTCCAGTTTATTTCACATTATTCTTTTCCTGCTCTGGATGATCAGATGACTCAAACTAGCAAATTGAGATCAGGTGAAGACAAATTTAGCTCCTGTGAGGTTGAAGTTGTTTAAACATACGGGATGCTGCAACCTTATCGTAATAGTTGGAGTCCAGTAAATATTGACCCTACAAGATACCCCGTCTTTCTTATATCTCACAGCATGTGACTTGTTTTATTTGGCTGTAAGAGTCAGACTTCAGCTGTCTTCATGCATTACTGATGGTACAATTTAGGAGAGGATAATGAATGTTAGAAGAGACAGAAAAGCAGAGAGGGACCAAGATAAATTTCATTTTTTGAGAACAGAAGGGAAATAGAAAATGGAGAATAAAAAGAGAGATGGAGACATTTTGGGGAATTACAAAATAAACCAGCATTGTTTATCACAAGACTGAAAGCCACATCTGTAACAGACTGAGATCTGATAAACAGGAGAACGAGGGCTGAGGCATGAGACCGGAGAACAAAGCTTTAATTTGGGTATTTTGAAGGGAATCTTTTTGATATGATAATTATGAGCAGAAAGCAACAAGTTAGCTAACATAGCAACTGGATCATGAGACTCAAGTGATAGGTGCCAGTCCCCTTATTCTAGATTTGATTTAGATATGCCAAAATAGAAGTCGATGTGAAGTGTTAGACAATCAGAGCATGACTCGCTGTTGTTCCTTACAGAACACTGATTGACCGTGAACACAATCCGTTCCCTGCTAAAGTATCAGATTTCACTATAATCCAATTATCCCACAAGTCAGTTTAAAGCTGGCCTGAAATCATTTTGAAACTAAAGTAGAAGTGAAACAGTCAGAAGCTGAACACACTGTGACAGCGACCATCTGAAAGTTAAGTGAAATGTGGTGACGTTGTGTGCTCCTGCTGAGGGAAGGTTTTTTTCATACGTGCAGTGTATTTTCCATACAAGTCAGTGGTTTCCAAATCACTAAAGTAAATAACTATGAACAGGCTGCAATTGCATATGCTATATTATATTATATACTTGAAGTATTGTGCATGCATGGCCTATTCTAAAGTTGTCATTACTGTGTGCACTTACTGAATGTCTCTGTTGTTACAGTGCTGACCAGGCTCTGGACAGGTTTGCCATGAAGCGTTTCTATGAAGACAAAGTGCTTCCTGTGGGCCAGCCATCGCAGAAAAGGTCAGTCTTCACTCACTCGTTTGTTTATAGTACGAGTATGACCCCAAAGTTGAACTGCCTCACAGAGATATGTCCGTCTATCCGTCTATGATAATACAGTTGTGTCTGAAGATATTATTAGCCACAGAGGTGCAAAAAAACCCAACTTAAAGACACAGTTATAGCTTAAAATGTTATTTATCTTAAGACATTCAGAAGAAAAAAGAGAAGCTGTAGCATCATTTGCTTTGCTCTCTACCAACTCTTTTATTTTGTACCATCTATCTATCAATCAATCTTCATTGTAAAGCGCCAGTTTATAGTAAAATGTTCTTGAGACACTTTAAAAAAAACAGGTAAAAAATCTTTGTCATATTATCTACAAAGACCCAACATTAATCCATCATGAGCTCTAAGAAACATTTAGCAAAGTTACAGTGGAGAGGAAAAACTTCCTTTAAGAGGAAGAAACCTCGAACAAAACCAGACTTATAAAAAAAAAGTCGAGGAAAACTCAAGACCAGAAAACATAGGTATAAATAATCCAGGTCCAGGTACTCAGGATGGTTAGAAATATATAAAAGGCCTTTAATTCATCGGGCTAGAAGCATTAAAATACACCAACGCTTATCGGCTTGCGCCTTCTTCAGAGTACAGTGGCACACTGAGACAATTAATGCCACTTCAGGTGATGAGTACCAGACTCATGATGAACAGCCGTCTGCTGAAACTGTGATGGGCTTGGAAGATGAGATAGAGGGAGCTGCAGGAAGAAGGAGAAGGATGGAGACAAACAGAGCAAAAACAACAATTAATAAGATTTAAAAAATGTTTGCAGTTATGGTAAACGTATGTGTAATAGTAGCAGAAACTGTAATGATGATTAAACAGGACTTTGCACTTCTGATCCCTGCACTTATTGTGAATTAGTCTGTTCATAGAAAGTTCTGTAAACCGGAGTCAGAGTCCTTATGTGAGTCTAAATACTTGGCTAATGAAGCTGATTCTGATTCTGATTAAGCAGAGTTTGTAGGCGTCTTTTTTTTTTTTACTGAAAAGCTGCCTGCCGTTTCTTCAGAATGAATTAAAAGTGGGATTTAATGGTGGACAAACAAAAACAATGATTCCAACGAGGCTAAAAAGAACAAAAGATCTGACGGGGATTCCAGAGTTACGTGGTTATTTTTCTGTGGCTTTTCGGCTACTTTCAACCCAGTTTCAAAATACACACAGCCTTTGGATCCAACATCAGTGCAACGGAAAGTGTTTAGTACAGCTTTAAAGTCCTACGTTTATTCTGTTTGGAATAAAACAAGGAGCCGGGTTGGCTCATTCATCAGGGCTGACAAGCTGAGAACAGTCATTTGTTTTCATTTGAGGTCGAAGACACGATTGAATCTCTTTGTTGTGACAAACACAGGATTATAACGTGATCCCTTTGTTGTCAAACAGAAAGGTAATCGTGATATAGTTTGGCAGAAACATTAGTCATGTGTTCTTTCCTCTTCTCAGGTATGTGGAGTACTTCAGCGGTCTGCTCTCCGGGCACATCAAGATCAACAACAAACCGCTGTTCCTCCACCACGTCATCATGCACGGCATCCCCAACTTTGAGTCCAAAGGAGGCGAGTGTCATCCACACCAATGAACTCACTCGTCGTCTCTTTATTGTCCTCAACAAATGACTTACTTTAAAATCTCCTGTTCCAGGTTGTCGTCCTTTTCTCAAAATCTACCAGGCCATGCAGCCCGTGTACACATCTGGGATCTAGTAAGTCTTAAAGCATGCTCACACTCCAACGCTTTTACAAGATTCCTGGGATAGCAAGCTCGTAATGGCTCAATAATAAAAAAAAAACCTGATTTTCCTTTACAGCCTCTCCCTTAACTCTCCTGCCCCCCCCAATATACACATACAGTGTCCCTCTTGCCAGTTTCCTCTCTGTGCTTGCCTCACATTATTGTATTTAGCTAGCCTCCCCAGCTCGAGGCTCTTGTTTCCCCACTGTAGATCCTTCAATCACTTCTATTATTATTTGTGACCTGAGAGCCAATGAAACAAGCAGACAGGCATCTGTGTGGACGCCTGCAGGGGTTTCCTGTCAGAGGACCCTGCTGGTTCTCAGGGCAAGGCAGGAAATAATGGATTCTGTGCTTTACTGCTGTTGTTTTGGGCTGAGGTGAAGGGAGAGGAGAGGAGAGAGGAGAGAGGAGAGGAGAGGAGAGGAGAGGATACAGGCTATATTTAAGCAATTAAAACATACAGTAGACAGGTTACTAAGTCTTTGAGAACCATAAGATACGCCTATTAGTGGAAAAACATCTTTCCAGATTTCTATACCTAGAAGTTCTATTTGTTCACTTACACCAATTATACCAACCAATTAGAAGATTTCAATTTGTCATCCATTGCAGCTAAGTTGAATAACTTTCAAACGAAGGAGTAGGAGACTCAGTTTGGCCAACTTTGGCTACTACTAAGAAGAATACATGAATGGTTAAAGGAGCAAAGTTAACTGTTGTATGTTTAGTCATTTAAAAAAAAAAAAAAGGCTGGCTTCATGGCTACTGTGTGAAGCCGAGCGTGCTACAGTTGATCTGTTAATACGTCATCCATCCAACAGTGTCAGATCTATAAACACATTTACAGCATGAACAATAACTATGTGTGCACATGTTGTAGACTTCCAGACTGTCAAACCCCTTAAAGCCCGCCCTCCTCCTCCTCCTCCTCCACTTTCTCTCACATGATAACCATTAGCACTCTGCAGCCTTTGATCTGACTCCCCCACTTACACAATCATGGTGACACTAATACCCAAAATTAGCTCCGCGCTGCACCGCGGTTACACTTTGTGGTGGTAAATGAGGGAATTGATGTAGATGATGATCACGCACACATTGTTATTCCCAGACAATCTGGACTGTATTGTGATGATTTTAACAGCAGTGATGACGGAGGCGGGTTTGTTTTCTAACATGTTGTTGTTTTTTTTTTTCCTTTTGCAGTAATGTCCAGGGGGACAGCCAGACCAGCATCTGCATCACCATTGAACCTGGACTTCTCCTGAAAGGGGACATCCTGGTAAGAAGTGCACAGATTAACTGGACAACAGGGGGCATATGTGTGAGATCTAAACATAGTGTCACATCTGAATTTAGAGACACAGCTGGGGAACATTTTTCTTGTTAACTCTGAAATGTGAAGCCAAGAACGGACAAAGTTTATTGTCTTTATTGTTCCAGTGTTTTACATCTAGCAGAGAGAAGGAAAATAAATGGACGTTAAATGACAATTAGCATTAGCCTGCCAATGAAAACAGCTGCAGAAATGCACAGACTACATACATAGGTTTTTTTTAATAGTTTATTAGTAATAAGGGAATCCTGTTGGTTTTTCCAAACGTACGTTGGCTGTGTGTACTGATCGCATGTGCCGTAGCAGTTTATAGGATCCATAAGAATGAGGGCTGTAAAATCCTGGGGGAAGACAGTTGGACATGGTCCTATACCTCAGGTTTATGGACCCTCATTAGCACACAATATGTTTTCTGGAAACTATGACGTCAAAACAGCCGCGTTCTTCCTGTCCAACAGCGTCTCTAATACACAGGATACCAGTTTAAATTACAGTTAAGAGTAAGCTGCATGTTTGATAGCTGTTTTTTATTCTTTTTGACAGATATTTCTCAATTTGGCGACCATGTGTACTTTAAAAAGGATCCTTGACTAAAAACAGGCATTAATGATCCTTTGTTGAGGAGCTCAAGCAGAAAAAGTGCAATGTCAGCAAAGTTTCCACCTCTGCTGTAATTCAGGCCGTAATGTTATCCATGAGATGTCCTCGGAGCTCATAATGTCAGCGCGGAGACTTCCCCACGAGCACTTACACTGTGCTCAAGGCCGTTCTGTTTTTGCCCTTTCAGAGCTGAACTCACAGTATATCTCATCCTTTATTTAAGACGACTAATGGATTCTGCTGAATGCGTCATCTGAATAAGCCGTGGCTGCTGAAGCTCGTTATTTTGCAGACAAGACAAAGATATGGCCTTAAGGACGAAGAGATAGTCAGCAAGGAGTGTGTTCAGGCATTAAAAACTGCACCACCATGTGTTTGTGGGGTTTTCTAACTGCCAGGAAATAACTGCAGTAATTAGAGATCAATTAGATCACACAGGAAAATCGGGTCTTGTTTGGTTAATTGAATAAGGAAAAGAAACATTTTGTCATAAGAAATCAGTCAGAATCTTAAAAAGGAATAGCTTAAGATTTTGGTCAATTTACTTTGAGGAGATCAATACCGCTTTCATGTCTGTTCTGTTAATAAGAACTGAAGCCAAAGGAAAGTAAACTCAGACGAGCCAAAACAAAGTCATATCAGAAATAATCAGTTCGGCCTCTCACCAAGGTAAAAACAAGATGCATTCAAGCCCCTTTAAAGCTCTCTTATTAACACATTTTTATATGCAATCTGAGCCAGGCTAGCTGGTTCCCACTCCTTGTCTTCGTGCTAAGCTAGCGGGCAGCTGGCTAACGGTAGCTTCAAATTTAGCGTACCGACATGAGAGGGACAATCATTTTCTAATCTAACTCTTGGCAATAAAAGCACCGAGTTAATTTCCCAGATGTCTAAAGCTGATTTGTTTCTCATGAAGGGGTCTCAGCTGAAAACACGTCACACCTCCAAAGGCAACATGTAATCTTGAAATTACTGTTTTACTCCTTCAGTTTTTCGTTTCACATACTAGGCTCGCCAGTTTTGTTCCCCTCATGAAACGGACCCCTCTGTGGGAGGTTCTCCTCATCCCAGAAAGCCGCTCTAAGCCACTGGATATTCTGCTTCGCCTCCCTCTCACTCTCAATCCTTTATTTGCTTGTTTGGATTTGGAAACGTTATATGTTTCCGTCTTACTTGGCCCCCACAAGTAGAAAATAGGTTTAGGTGGAAAGCAAATCAGTCCCACATTCCTCAAACATCACATTGAAATCAAGATTTAGTCGATGCTTTCTGGTCAAATCTACAGAAATATGTCAAAAGAAATGTTTCTGTGGCCTTAAAAATGCTCGCTTTGACTTCACAAGTATAGGATGCTTTTCAGTTCCTTAGTTTTTATTCTTTCCAGCATCCGTTTGTGAGCTTCAGGCTGAGCTGGGGTAAATATTCCTCCAGTACCTGTAAATGTGAGGTCCTTGTAAAACACTAACAGGTCCTGGCTGCCCAGCGAGGACACAGCAGGAGGGCAAGAGGAAGTTTTCCTGTGTGGAGTTTAAGTGTTGCTCTTAAAGCTGTTTGTGTTGGGAGAAACAGTTTGGAGAATAATGCATGTGGAGAGGCTTTACATTAGCACGGAGAGAGATATACTGTATATATATATTAAAAAAGCTCTTAAATGTTTTTTGTTGCTCTGAGTTAGAAAGAGGGAGCACTGAATCAAGCTGGCATGTCTCTGGCTCAGTTTCACAAACATTGGTTCATATTACGTTTACTTCATACTTAGAGTGCATCGGCATGAACGACATAGACTGTCATAGGCTGTCAAACTATATATTTTTTTATTGCGATTATTCGCTACATTTCAGTCATTAATTGTGATTTATCACATTTCATCGCATGTTTGAAATTCCATTATTTCGCATTTAAAAATTAAAATTGTTAGGCTTTTATTCTGAATTTTTGTACTGTCTTAAAATTAGATTACTTTACGTGCTGTTTAATATCAACCGTGCTTTTATTTTGAAATTAAGTAAGGACCTTTTGGTAGATTGAAGGTTCCAAAATTAACTCTTAAGGTTTAAAAAAGGAACTCGTTACAGATCAAAATCTAACGTCAAACAGATCAAGTGAACTGCCGTTCATGTCTCTGTTTAACATTTTGTCTCTCTTCTCCCTCCAGCTAAAGTGCTACCACAAGCGTTACCGCAGCCCATGCAGAGATGTGATATTCAGGGTGCAGTTTCACACCTGTGCTGTTCATGACCTGGGGATAGTGTTTGGGAAGAACGAACTCGATGAGACATTCAAAGGTAAGAAAGTATGATCTGTGTGCAAACAGTCAAATATGACTTAAAGGTGGCATTCCCTTTTTATGTTGTCTGCTGAAAAGATGAAGCAGTTATCGATGATGTGCAGTTAATAATGCCTCTTTTTGTTACCTATTTCCTGTGTGCAGATGACAGATTTCCAGAGTATGGAAAAGTGGAGTTTATTTTCTCCTTTGGACCAGAGAAAATTCATGGTGAGAATCAATGTGTCTGGTGTTCTTGGTGCACGGGGACTTTTCTTACCAGTTGTATTTTAATGTTCATCCTTATTTGAAACATATTTAAGCTTTTAACGACAAAATATTGACAAGTACAAACAAGAATCATGAAGGAGGGAGGGTAATGACTTACAAAATGACTGTGACTGGATTTTATCCAGGAGCATTGCCGGTGGTACAGGTCTTAGCCAGTTCACTAAGATTGCCTGGTATGTGTAATGTTTACATTTTTTGTTTTGCCGGTTGGTTATTGTTTATTGAATTAAGCCAATCAGTCATAAATGTAATTTTGTCATAAAGGGGAGGAAAAGAAATCAACTTAAATGAGTCATTTTAAAGTGAATTAAAAGTCGATTCTTCTATTGTAACTCTGTGAGTGTGATTTGTGAGTTTCTTCCTCGTGATCTCATGACATTCACGTCGTCTGCTCCATCTTTTCGTACTTCTGGTCAAGGTGTGGACCACCTGGAAAACGGGCCAAGCGTCTCGGTTGACTACAACACGCAGGACTCCCTGATCCGCTGGGACTCGTATGAAAACTTTAATCAGAGTTGTGAGGACAACACAGACGGTAAGTGCAGCTGGATTATAGATTTTGCAACGAACTGTGCAGGTTCCATCTTGTGTACAATGAGTACAGCACACAGACTGCAGGAGTAGAGTCCAAACATTATAACATGTGACCTCTTGAAGCAGTTTGAGATGCAGATCCTGAAGTGTCATCTTAGCGATCAGCTTTCAGATTCTGATAGATGAAGGAGACTTACTCAGAGATTAGTTTTTGACCTTGTTGCACACTCACTGTGATTCGTCATAAATATACATATCCCATCAGACACATATACTTACACACAGAAGTAGACCTCCTACTGCCCCCCCCCCAACCCCCCCACCCCCCTTGTTTGTTGTAGAGTTAACAAGGTGTTAATTACACCAGCTCTTTACAGCCATGCTCCATATAACCACTTATGTGCAATAATGTCTTGAGAACTTGTGTTTCTAACTTGATCTGAGGAAGTACATGATAAAAAAAAATGAACCACAAATTGGTTGTATGTTTCTGCATGTGACCCATTAGCTCTGGATCAGTTTGGTCCAAACAGCTTCATTAGTGCTCGTCATCAGCTGTCAGTGAGTAGATTATGCATCTGAAATGTATTTGAAGAGGCTCCCTCCGTGTGAACTTGTAGGTGAAAGAGCACTTTGGATGAATGTTTTATAAACAGTACATGTATCTGTTGAAATGCATCGTGGTGTGCTCGACAGAAGTTGTGATTCTATTTTAGTTTCTCCCTCAAACGCACACATGAACATTCTCTAACCACTCTGACCTCGGTAACAAAGCTGTTGTTGTGTTTGTGCGTGACACGGAGCAAAGATCCATCCTGCCTCCTAATGGAGTTTAAAGACTTTTTTCACAGTTTCTTCTCTTTAAAGCTCCCACACGACAGGGTCAAACTGAAGTCACATACAAGTTAAACACGTGTCGAATGTGTCACGGGTAAAGACACAGGGTAGCAGTTGTGTATATAGAGTTATATGTATGCTTGAGCCTTTTTGTTTCTTTCTGTATTGTTTGCATCACATTGTGGCTTAAAGTGTTGTTTCGCCCCATGCAAATATCTAAAATCACCCAAATCAGCATTACGAGGTTTCCCGCTGTCCTGGATGGTGGTGGTAAATCATATTTTGAAATGAAGGAGAGAATTCAATTGTGGTGGGATTATGGCCGCCGAGAAGCTATAGGCCCTGTGGGACCCGAGTGCAGTGCGAGACATTCCTGGGTCGAGCCACAGGCATGGACAAGAGCCTTCCTGTGGAGGGAGCGGTGGTCACTCTGTGACCAAAGTGCTGCTTTCTCTGCCACCCAAAAAAAGGAAGCTATACTACGCCCTCCGTGGTAGCAGACGGGCTGGGTTGTTATGTCTTCAAAGTACAGAAAGTGTCAGAATCGTCTGTTTGTTTTTATGTGAGCTGGAATAACTGTACGCGTGTCCTAGATACTCTGATATTGATTTCTAACAGTGCTTGTCAGGTCAGGTTATGTTTTACAAATATCTTTGTTAAAGAGAGGGTAATACAATCTGGTGAATGATTATAGATTTGCCCTGTTCAACTTTGAATCGTGATGTTCTGTTACTGTGCATACGTAGACATTTGTAGGTTTCATCCTGCAACGTCTCACATTGATTTTTGCTGTCCAGCACATCGAGTGGTTTAGGTTTTGTTTAGCACCTGTAGAGGATGCTAAGTGGGAAGTCCATTAATGCAAAGATCAGCTGCTTGCTAATATAATGCTAATATGAGCATTGTAATATATTCTGATAGTTAGAACGTTGCATGTAGACCTCTGTGTCAATTAATAAATGTGGGTTGAATGAAATACTCCGAGTGGTCAGACCTTGAGAAAGGTGATAAGTGCAGTCCCTTTGACGATTTAGTCAGTGGTGGTTTTACCTTCTTTACCACCTCTTGTGAGGGATGCAACATACACATCTGTGAGTGTATTGGGATGTATTCAGATGTTTATTCTGGTAAAATCGCCACATCACATTGTAGAAAACAGAGCCACATGTTAAGTTCTGCATTCATGACATAATTTAAGTAGAATTAAAAGAAATGTACTTGTTCAAGCTTCATTAAGTTGAATGGCCTCTTCTAATGTAAGAATAATTACACAGCACTGATTGACATAAGTATTTAAAGGTTGTGGCTGTTCAAAGAAGAGCAAATGTATTTATTTATTGTGCATGGTTATTATAGTGATAATAGTGAATCATATTTGATTTTATATTCACATGTTAAATTTTTATTTGCTCAGTGCATATATACTGTATATATATTTTTTAAATTGTTTCCAAGCCCAATGTTCACATCCCACCTGTGGCTTCTTTCCCGCATGTCATTCCCCACTCTCTCTCCCTGATTTCCAACTCTATCCACTGTCCTATCTCTCCATTAAAGGCATAAAAAGCCCCCAAAAAATAAATCTTTAAAAAACAAGATGCTGGCAAATACTAAACAATGAATATCATTGTGGTACAATAACTTAACTTTGTCCTAAGTACAGACTACACTCTCTCCAGGAACTTCAAAATAATGTATTTTTTTAAAAAGTGAAGTGGTGATGTTGAAATGTACTGGATTCTTTAGTGATGGCATCAAGCGAGCATTGTGTGCAAGTTAAATGACAGTTTGTAAAATTACAAAGTGGCTCGTTGCAGACACTTTCTTGCTGGATATTTAATGTCCCTACGTCTCCCTTAGGGTGTTCATTGGTCTCCCAGACAGCCAAAAGGTCAGAGGTTACTTGGCTACCTTTTATCACTGCCCATAAAGTGTACACCCTCACAGTCAGCTTGAAATAGGCTTTTCTAAAATAGAACAGGTGTAAGTCTCCTCTCATTCTATGTCAGTCGAGGTGGTTTGTGTGTGTGTGTGTGTGTGTTTATCTGAAGTCCAGCCCAGTCCAAGCTGTCTGCTATGTTCAGTCATATGATGGTGATACTGTGGTCGAGGCTTCATTTGTCTCACGTAAATGAACACACTTCACCTTTGGACAGGAGCAGAAACGCATGAAAATGTGTGCAAGTGAGCATACGCAGAGATGCACTCAAAAACAATCCTAAGCTCTTAATTGCTACTCTGAAATCTTGATGAGACTTAGAGGATACCCATAAATATCTTTTTGTGACATGTCTTCATTCTCCAGTACACCCAGAGTGATACACAGTGTAAACGGGCGTAGCTTGGAGATAGCACTTAAAACACCAGTCAAACATGCTTCTCTCTCACAGAAACGAGAGAGAAAGGGGTTTCCAGGAAACTGGAGTCCATCTATCATTTGGCTTCACACTTGTTAGTGCTGAAAGGGCGATTAGGTCCTCTCACCGAGTGGCTTTTAGAGCCGAGAGGATGTATATCTTCACAAGTGTTAGAAAACAAAAGCCATGGTTGTTGTTCGGTTGTCAGCGTCGCGACTGCTTTTCTTAGGAAAGAGCTCAACTTACAACAACTTTTCTGCCCTCTCTTCTTATCGAGGCATTGCATGAAGCTTAAATTATACGGCCAATGTTTTGTTGGGATCAACATTGGGTAAGTCTTGTCTATGTGGTCGTTGGTTTCCAAAGATTGATGTTGATGTTCATTGTGTTTATTCCGCAGAAAACAGCTACAGCTGCTGTGGGGGAGTTTCAGCTCAGGGATTCTTGTCGTGCCTGCACCTTGCATAAACACAGCAAGAAAAGATCCTAAACTTCACACTTGCACAATAAACCATGAACACATTGAATGAGGCGTACATGGATTTAGAAAGTGTATCATCTCATGAGCAAATCAAAATAAGTCATAAACAAGGATGCTCTTGTCCCTTATGACCTGTTGCTGCAAAGTGAGCAAAACCTTAAAAGTTAACTTATCCTAATTCAAACTTAATTTTAATGAGTAATCCAGATCTTCTAAGTCTCTGGAATCCATGAAATGACTACAAATAGCCTCACAAATGCAGCATGCTTGGTCGGATGCCTTTCTGGATTTATGGTCATTACTCAGTACATGACCATTTTCTGTTGAAGATGAACTTTTATACATCAAGTGTCTCTTACTATATTGAAAGTTTTTTTATGTAACCCTGCGACACGTCCAAGCTTTGATGTTGAGACTTAACACCTTAAAAAAACAAACGTCAGGAAAACTGTGTGAAATGGAGGGGGAAGTGAAGCTCTAGTTCTGTTCTGTCCGTTAATTTTGTCAGCTCATGTTGACGGTGATTTGTAGAATGAAAGACCCTGGTGTTTGTGTTTACGTTCAGTACCAGTGATGAACTCAGCAAATACACTTGGCTGTACTTGTGTACAGTCTCTGATCTACGAGGGTGCAAAAGCATGCATTGCACCCCCATTTTAAATTTCTGCACCCTCATTTCAATGGATGCAAAAAAAAAAAACAAGCATAGGTTTTTTTTTTTTTACCATAAGTTATCAAGGCTTTTGAAATGACAACAGTGACTTGGATCGTGGTTACTACATCCATGCTGTGATGATCATGACAGGTGAACGTGATCTTTCTGTTCACCAAGGACCACATGAGGGACCTTCGCTATTGTTCAGTGCTGTTGCCGGTCGCCGTAGCTGCTGCACCACCTTTAATCTAAGTGGTTTTGTAGGCTTCTAGAACTGGGCCTGTTTGTGTACTCTGTTCATTTTCGATGACAATTTGTTTTTGTATGACAGCACTTTAAACCTCATTTTTCTAGTTCTAAACTTTGGCCCCGGTAAATCTCAATCATTCTTAAATTGGCATTAAACACTAATTAAAACCCCCACTTCAAGTTCTGAGAGATTCCTCTCCCTCTCCTCCGAGGAGTCTGAGGAGTTAAAGTCAGACTCTTCCGCTGGACTGTGAAGCTCTTTTGTGCCCAGACTCACAGGAGGAGGAGTGACAGAGAATGTCAGTGTGGGTTTGTGCATGCTGCTGTTCTGCGCAGACAGACTGTCTGTGAGAGTTACATGGTGGGTCAATGTTTAGAGGGTTTGTGATATCTTGCTTTTTGAAGTGTTGATAGCTGTTGAA